ATAATGATATTACGTTTATTTTCTCACTCATTACTTTTAAAGGTACCTTTAGGGCTTCTTAAGGTAAAATATTAGGCTTTCGGATTAAAAATGGCGCCCTAAAAAGCATATTCTACATTACTTTTTATTTGGGCCCCCCTAAAATAAATTCCTGTATCCGCCACTGGTTCCAATTGATATGGATGAAATTTATGTGTTTTTATTTTTTTATAATTCTATTAACACTACTCTGAGAAACGTCCGTTCCCAAACCAAGCCAATACTTTTCGTGAGGAAGCATTAGGATTTTCTTATCCACATCCACATTATCGTACTACAGGGTTTTTCACGCTACCCGGTTCAATATACGTTTTTTGTGTGTAATTTCCTTTTGTACTTTCTTTTTAAAATATTTTCCACTTTCTAGAAAATATTGGTTCTTTCCGGTTTCACCGAAAGCGATTGCGAATTTACTTATTTTAAATACATTTATGGGGTGTTTCAAAAAATATGTATCATCTCTCATGGGGAGATTCCTCACGTATAAATTTATCTAAAAAAGTATGTACGCCACTGACTTTTTTTTCTCTTGTTAGCGAAATAGTGTAAGCAGTTTAATGTCTCTTGATATTTTGTCGATTTCGGTTTCCTTAATGAGATAAACGCAATTTTATTAATTTGCTTTGATCCAAGTCCAATAGCAACCTTTAAAATTTTTTAATAATATAATATATCATTAACTTGCGAAAGTTAAGGATTGCGATTGATTTCCCATCAAAAATATGAAAAAAAGTTCCTATAAGCATGGATATGAAAATGCATAGTTTTAGATTTACAGGATGTTAAAACTTGTTAAAATTAGATTTTTGTAATTATCTTAAATACCATTATTATTTTATTTGAAATTGCTGTAGGTTGGACTTTTAATTGGCATTAAATGGCCTACACAATTTTGATATCAAAAGAAAAATGTCAGTGGCGCACATGTTTTTTAAAATCTTCCAGTGATAGCCCATATGCACGTCCCTGATGAATTTATGGACACTTTATTAGCTTTCAAATATTATGTAAAGTAGGTATTTGGAAGAAAACATTAAAAGATTATTAAGACTTTAACACCCTGTAGCTACAAAACAAAGCAGAATCGGACCTATGTTGATATGAAAAATAAATCTTATTTTTACGTGAATCTCCCCACGAGAGATGTTTTGTGAAACACTGAATTTTTTGTAAAAAATGAGCATATTTTTCAGTATCAATGTATATTTTTCATAAATTTATGTTGCTTGTATTTTAGAAAATGTTTTATTCTAAGGTCGCTGTCAATTGAGCGCTATTTTTTCGATCATACGTTATTGTACAGGGTGATTTTAAAAATATTTAAATTTTTTATATCATAAAACAATTATGAGGGTAAAATATTAAAATATTTTAATGCTAAAAAAATGTCGACAAATTCGTCAGGGGTGTGCATATAGGTTATCACTAGAATATTTTTCTAATTAAACATGTGCGCCACTGACTTTTTCTTTTGTTAGCGAAATAGTATAATAAGCAGTTTAATGCCGATTAAAAGTTGCCTCTTGATATCTTGTCGATTTCTTCGACTTTTTTCTCTTATTAGGTTAGCACATTGTATAGATCGTATACTGATCAAAAGTTGTATTCCATATAACACAACACAATCCTATAGATATCTTGAGGATATCCACCAAGGATATAGTAAATATCTTAGGGATATCCAAAAACCAGAGGAGGATATTTATGGGATATCCAGATGGGACAAAAAAAGTGATCTTCAAGACATCCCTAGGCAAACCTTTTACGATTATTTGGGATATTTATAGGATAATACAAGGATGAGGTTGGGAGCATTATAGAATATTTTTAGGACATTATATGAAGACTGTTATTTGACAATACTTACTTCATCCTTAGTTTATAGTAAAATATACAGGATACAGGTATAATTTCTAACACCACACCTTCCAGAAACTCACAATTTAAACACAAAAATAGGATTTCTGTTCGAATAGATCAAACATGAAAATGGGTTCAGGGATAAAGAACAAGCGATTTTCAACAAATTTTCACCTATAATTTTGTCACAAATTTTTCATTGTGAGACCCTGAGTCGTTCGTCGTTTTTCGACATTAGTTGAGGTTAGGATAGAATTTCTGCTAGAAAAAGGCTAGAACCAGGCTAGAACTATGAGTATAAGAAAAAACTAAGTCAAACACGAACCGAATTCACCTCGAATTTCACTAAATCAAAGAACTGAATAATACACGATGCAAAAACAAACAACTATCGAGATGGATTGTGGGAAATTTTTTGAGCGGGCGTTTTAAATTCTCTGTATTACTGAGAGTGGCCAAGCTCATAAATATCCAGATTATCCAGAAGATACCAAGTTGCCTTTACGTAATATATATCTATCTGTATGGTTTATTGCATTTTATGTAATATAAAAAGTAGTAAATTATTTATTTTTCCTAAATATCTAGACCATATTGTTAGGATATTTTATTATCATGAGCATGTTTTGATATCTCAGCTGGATGTACAGGGTGGTCGAAATTGGTCTGTTTTAACAGAGAAAACCTATTTCCTGACTAGATAGAGCAAAACCGACATAGATGTCATGGGCTCGATTTCGGAGAAACGTTTAATGGCGTAAACCGCCTGTTGATATTTTCACTGCTAACCGAGATACGGGGTCTTTTTGAATTTTTTACCATTTTGAAAATTGCCCATAACTTTTTTATTTTGCGGAGTAATAAAATTCTGTAAAAACGTTATTAAGGCACTCTTTTAGGCACAATCCAGTGGCGTAGTCAGTTTTTTTCTATGCTTGCTCTTTTTGTCAGAAATAATAAAAATATAATTTTTTAAATGGAAATCATAGTCGGCTATGAACTTAAAAAAATGCTGGCGTTTTACCCTTTCCAGTGATCTAAAGTTATGGACATCTATTTCTAAGAATGAGAGAAATATTAGGTTTTTGATCTTTATATCGAAGCGGGCCTTGATTTTGTGTTGACCTATTTGCCTAATTAATTTTTATCACAATTTAATATTCTATATTATTATTTATCTGCATAATTAAAGACTTTTGTAAAAGTAAATTAACATTCTATATTAGTATTAGTAATTACAATTGAAATCGATACAATAAACAAAGAATAAAACTAAAAGAAATATTTTTTTGAGTGACGAATATAGTTTTCTAAAAAAAATCATAAAAGATGTTCAAACTGAGCACCCCCTTGTTGAATACACAATAAACATATTTTGTGCACACAGTTACAACAATTTATTAGGCGAACTGGTGTAATAAGTCCAAAAGCTTGCCTAGTAGCCTTCTGTAATTTTTCTCAAGTCCCAATGGTTCTTCCCTTATATATAAGGCCTTTTAATTTCCCCCGTAGAAAAAGTCAAAAGGAGTTACATCATAGGACCTAGCAGACCAAGATATGGGATTCCTTGTTCCAATCCAATTCTCTCTAAATTCTCCATAGTGCAGTTGTAACCCTGGCTTTTTAATTGTAGATGGTAATACTAGTATGGAATGTTGATTTACCTTTTCAAAAGTCTTTAATTATGCAGATAAATAATGATATAGAATATTAAATTGTGATAAAAAATAATTAGTCAACGTTAGTCAACACAAAATCAAGGCCCGCTTCGATACAAAGATAAAAAACATAATATTTCTCTCATTTTTAGAAATAAATACACATAACTTTATATCGTTAGAAAGGGTTAAAGGCCAGCATTTTTTTAAGTTCATAGCCAACTATGATTTCCATTTAAAAAATTACATTTTTTATTATTTCTGACTAAAAAAGCAAGTATAGAAAAAAATTGACTACGCCACTGAATTGTGCTTAAAAAAGTGCCTTAAGAATGTTTTTACAGAATTTTATTATTCCGAGAAATATAAAAGTTATGGGCAATTTTCCAAATGGTAAAAAATTCAAAAAGACTCCGTATCTCGGTTGGCAGTGAAAATATGAACAGGCGGTTTAGGCCTTTAAACGTTTCGCAGAAATCGAGTCCATGACATCTATGTCGGTTTTGCTCTGTCTAGTCAGGAAATAGGTTTTCTCTGTTAAAACAGACCAATTTCGACCACCCTGTACATTAGATATACGACAGAGATATCCATAGGATATTCTATTCTGAGACATCTACAGGATTTCAGGATGTCTAGAGGATATCCTATAGATATCTTTATAGGATGATCCAGTAGTGGGACATTCCGGCATTCTATGGATATCGTGCGGATATTGTGTGTTATATGGGATCTTGACTTTTTTTCAAATTTTTGAAGAGAAATCAATGAGTCCTTTGACCAGATAATCACATTATTTTTTTAAAAGGTTGCTATTAAGCTTGGATTAAGGTAAATTAATACAATAATTGCATTTATTGCATCAATGAGAGCGAAATCGATAAAATATCAAGAGACAAGTTTTAAATTTACATTAAACAGTCTGCACAATTCTGCTAACAACAGAAAAGTGGACGCTTTTTTTTCAATCGTAGGATATAAACTATAACGATGAGGCAATTCCATTTTTTATGATATTTTATGTTGACCATAAGGATTTTATATTTGTATATGTATTCCTGTACTTTATAAAACCTAGTACCTACCTAATATGAATACCGCAAAATAACCAAAATTAAATTATAGAAAAAATAAAAAATTATTTACAGTCTATAATATACACAATAAGTGATTGTATTTTTAAATTAATAATTGAAATGAGGTAATTATAATTATTACTATTAGATCTTAATATTTAATTATTACACTATAACTAAAAAGTAATCTTAAGAATTGATATAAACGTTATGCTTTACATTCATATAAACTAAAATCTAAAATATCTGAGTAAAAAAAAGATTTTGCTTTGTGCCAAATTATGGAACATTCATAATTTTCTTGGCTTGCAAATATATTTCGCTTTTATCGCATTATTTTTACATTTTTGTGTTGATGCATTTTCAGGTATCGATACTTTTAGTCATTTTTTACGAACTGATGCAATTCCAGTTTTATAGTGCAATCAGCATTCATAAAAAATATCGTATAGTGTCAAACCTAACGAAGAAACGCTGACTGATGACAAATCAATTAGATAGAAATGTTTATATTCTTTTATTAATATAGGAAATGAGACCTAGTAACGATGTAGTATGTTTTATAACGATACCGCTTGCTGTAAAATATTTGAGAGTGTATATTTATTTTAGTGAAATATGGAAGTTACATTTAGATCTGTTAGATAGTGAAATCGCAAGGATTCACTATAGATAATACTTTTTTTGGAAGTTCAAGGAATATGGCTCAAAAAGATCATGAAGCAAAAGAGGTATGTACTAATAACTATCTAACTAAATCAATTATTTTAACGTCATAAAAATTAAGGATTAGATAATATACAGGATGACTTAGTGTTACGAGAAGGTTTCACATCGGGCTTTTTTCACACCAATCTTTTTTTTTAGAAAATATAAGGGCAACATTAATTTTCCTAAATAATGCATTTTCTCATTTTATAAATACAATGAAGTATTTTGGAATAGGTATGTTTTAAAACATAACTGTTCTGAAAGTAAATTTTCCATACATTCAAAGCCGATTCAAAGTTATAAAAGCTTACTTCGTGTTTCTCTTATTACCGATTCTGAACCGTCCTAGAACTGTAATGCGTATGCGCAGAAGGAAATATGAAGACATTATTTCATTTGCGCATACGCTGCAGAGTTCTAGGACGGTTCAGAATCGGTAATAACAAGAACCCGAACAAAGCTAAAGTCTCTATTTGGAAGTATTTTTATATAATCGGCGTCTTCAAAATTAATCATATTAAAATAAGCTAATTTGCTTAATGTATACAGGGTGATTTAGAACTAAACATAATGCATTTCTCCTCTGTATTAAATGTAAAACCTTGTACTTTTTATTATAAATTAATACAGACTTAACTTAATGTTTTTAAGCACTTCATGTAGTTTAATAAGTTTCCTGTAGTTTTAGTATTAAACTATAGGACAATCTCAAATTGAAAACCTGATATGAAGCTTTTTTTCGGAACACAGGTCACACTGTATATAAAACATAATTAAAAACAATTTGTTATAGAAACATTAATATCAATATAGTGACATCGTTAACAAACGAATATTTGAACACTCATCCCAAATATAATGCTTTTAAATCATGAACTATCGAGAGATAATTCACAAAATGTTATACTTAAAACATGATTTTATAAAAAAACGAAAATAATACATAGACATAAAAACGCGAAAAACGTAAAAAAATGCATTTTTTTTTTTCGTTTTTTTTTGCTTCTATCTCCAAAAATATAAAATTTTCAGAAACGATACTTTAATACAAAATAAAAGTAGACAAAATTTCCTAAAAATTCAGCTTTTTATATTTTTCCTCAGACAATCCGCCACAAAAGTATTAATTTTTGCGACGTGATTGACGATAAAAGTAAAGCACTTTTACGCCTAAGCACAAAAGTACCAAAATATATTATTAAACTGATATAAAGTGTCAAATTCAACAAGCGTAACCATAATTTCTCGATATATAATTACATACTAGGTATTATTTTTTAAATCTTTTTATTAAAATATAAAATTTTAATAAAATTTTTATTAAATCTTTTTATAAAAATATTATTATAAAATTATTTGTGACCTTTGAAAAAAATAGCATGTTCTATTCGGAGTAAAAATGACTTTTTGTGGCTCGCCTGTATGTCAAACGTACAGCCTGGTGCAGCCTGGTCTAATTCAAAGTGGTTAGAACTGGAACGAGCCCTCATATGCTTTTCCACTGCCACTCTTTTGGATTTCTTTTTTGCTCATTATATGATATATATTTTTTTTTTGGATAACCACTTCTGCACTTGAAAGAAAATTCTTCGTGAGTGCTATGTGCTGTTTTTATAGGACGAAATGATATGTATTGTCTTATATCGTATAATATGATACATATCATTTCGTATGTCTGTACCTTATATCGTATTATTATTTACTACACAGATCCATTAGAAATAAGTGTTCAATTTCAGCAATATCGTCCTAGTGTGCTTGGGGATCTATAAAAAATTAATGACGGATTACAAGTTTCAAGTCATTATTTTTTCTGTTTAACTTTAAGAATTTTATTTTCCTCAGGTTAAGCATTACCGAAGTTATAGCAAAAACTTGTATTAAACCCCCATTTATTGAGTGAAGGATTAATATAGTATAAGAGTATCAGGACACACAGTTTTGTCGGATATAAGAAAGGGGATCATAGAATGTTTGAGATACCTGTCCTTTGTCTGTTTTTTTTTCCTACATTCTCTATATCAGGGCTACATAGGCCAATCAAAATTACCAAAAGATGAACATCCCCTTATTGTGACGCAATTATTTAATGGAGCCAACCTAATTGCTTCTCGCAATAAGGACATCGGCATCCGCCTCGTCTTGATGTGATACAATATGTGTTTTTTCTCTGAGACAGTAGGCACTATGTACTCAGCAAATAGTATTACAGCAGATTGCCTTCTTTGCATTCTTGTCAATTATGGGGGAGTATGGTTGGATTTCAAAATAAAATCCCGTGAATATATGTAGAACTCTGTACAGAAAACAGAATTATAATAATTCTGTTTTCTGTACAGAGTTCTACATATATTCACGGGATTTTATTTTTTCATTTAAATTTGATAGTTTAAGACTTATCACCCATAGTTACCACCCTCAAACCTAAAAAACATACTAGAATTTAATAATAAATTAAGAAGTAAGGAGTAAGAGTTTTGGAGTACAAAAAGTAGGTATTTGCCAACCAAAAAAACGCTAATTTTCAACTGGCTGTTGAACCCGAAGAATTCTTCCGGAAAAAAACTTAAATAACAAAAATTATACAAAACTGTATGTACTTTAATTTTGAATACAAAAGATTGTTTGCGAAAAAGCTTTTTAAAGTTATAAACAAAAAATCCAATGTTTTTCAGTTTTTTCCATTTTTCGTCACGAAATTTTGTTCAAAAAGAGATTAGATTCAAATTTAACACCCCAATAAAAATAATAAATAAAAGAAATCAAAATGACCCTAAAATTTCCTCCAAAAGTAAGTTTTTCCAGTACAATTTGACTAAACTAATAGGAATGGAAACAATACAATGATGCCTGTTAAGATGTTTCTAAAACATTGATGTTTCAATAACAAAAAACATACATGTTTACCATCGATCCTAAATTTTTAGTACTACTACTGTAAACTATCGATGAATCGATAGTTTTCTAACGATGTTTTACATACTATTCCTGTAAATTCTATTCTGCCGAATGCTACCAAATAAATTGCTCTGATTTTTAAAGGATTTTGAAGAATGATAATATTGACAAAAATTGTTAATATTATTTATTAATAATTTTTGTAACAAAAACAGTTTTTATTATTCATTGATAGTTGTATAAAAAGGCACCTTATAATATGTACATACTTTTATAAAATTAAAGAATCAAGTATAAACTGAAACCATAAAAATATAATAGAATGTTATATGGGCTCTTATTAAAATCATACATCAATGATTTCTTTATAGTCTTATTTTTCAATTATAACACACTAGATATAGTAGGTAACCTATATCTCTCGCTGCAGTGTAGTACTTCATTATTTATTATTAAAATTTCTCGCACCATAATTCATTGTTAATTATTTTAAATACCTATAGCAAAATATGCTTATTGGCAGTATATATTTAACCATCAATCATTATGTATCACAACAATCTGTAACTGTTATTTGATGAGTCACTATCGGATGATCTGAAGAGAATATCACTTAATGAATCTAATTGAAGTGGAATAAAGCCAATGAAAGGAGATAGAAGCAGTTCAGAAATTCCTTCAGCCAAATACGCAACTGAAAATTAATTTGTCTTGGATTCCCATGGCATTGTATTCATAAACATTTTTTTTAAATCACTAATTGGTGACTCACTGTTTTAAACAGAATAAAGAAGTTAGAGTGGGTTAGAGCAAACTAAGGTATTTTCAGATTGCTTTAAATTACGAAAAAATATTAACTTACTTATGAATCTTCAATACTAATATACCTTTTTTTGTTGGAGAAGAGGGGAAGCAATTTACCGCCGGCGCCGAGGTGTGGGGTTCGATGCGACAGTACGATACCAGTTGTTGGCAGTTGGCATTCTCCGCCGTATCTCTGGCCGCATCTTCTTCTTCAAGTGTCATGTTCTTAGTGAACGTTGACGACTGCCATGTTAACAATATCTCGCTCTCGATAATACTCCGAATCAATGGGTACCTACCCTAGCATCCTACAGGCAGAAATCTACGCTATCGACAGATGCGTACAACTTATCTTAGATAGGAACTGTCGGAAAAAAGAAATTGCCATCTTATCTGATAGTCAAACAGCATTAAAAACGATCAACTTAGTATCAATCAATTCGAAATTGGTCAAAGAATGCCTAGAGAAGGTGAATAAATTAGGGGCAAAGAAAATAAAGTCCTCGTACTCTGGGTGCCTGCTCACCAAGGGATAGAAGGCAATGAAAAAGCAAATGATCTAGCTAGAAAAGGAGCAAACACTCCACTAACAGGAACAGAACCGTTCTGCTTCCCAAGTGGTAACCAACTAAAGGCGGAACTCAAGAACTTGAAAGGCTCCATCCGCAACCTGGAATGGGAATCTAGCAACGGTCTAAGACACTCGAAGAAGTTTCTGAGGGCTTACGATAAAAAAAATCAAAGAACTTCCTGGAATAAAGTAAGAACAATCTTCGGATTTTCACGGGGTTTTTAACAGGACACTGTCTCCTTAATGAACACCTCAGTAGATTGAAATTAAGAAGAAACGGCGAATGCAGATTCTGTGGGGAAAATGGGGAAACATCAGAACACCTCATCACGGAGTGTGCCGAGACGACAACCATTCGTGCCATGAACTTTGGTGCGACTGATATTGGAGAGGGAGAAGATGAGATATAACTCAAGAAAGGGGGACACAATAGATCTGTAAGGTCCCAGTGATTAACCCCCCTCCCACTCATTCTAAATTCTAAAATCGCTCTCGATCTTGCGCTACATGGAGTACTTCATCCGCGCTCAAGCCTGTCCATTGCCGCACGTTCCTCCACCACGAAATCCTCTTGCACCCAATCCACTTTTTTCCTTCGCTTTTTCCGTTAAGGATTAGGCGGAGAAACTCATATCGAGATCCTCTAGTTATATGGCCAAGGTATTCAAGTTTTCGTCGCTTGATAATATTCAGAAGTAGTCTGTCACATTTCAAATGGTTTTTATTTATCATTTCTTTATTAAGCCT